TCTTAAACTGTGGACAAAGTACTCCAGGTGTGGCCTGACCAAGGCAGAATAGAGCAGCACTATTAATTCCCTTGATCTGGACACAATACTTCTGCTAACATTGAGAGTGAGAGCACCCGCTGTGGTCTTTAAGGACATAAGAAGAATCTTGCTTGATCAGGCCAAAATCCCATCTAGCCCAACATCCTGTTCTCACTGTGGCGGACTAGATGCATTCTTGAAAGCCCACAATCTAACCAATACTCTCCTTGCTTATGGTACCCAAAAGCCAGTACTCAAAGAGACAAACTGCCTTTGATAGCAGAGGATGAACACAGTCCTCATGGGTAGTAGCTACTGATAGCCTTCTCCTCCATGAAATCTGTCGAATCCTCTTTTAAAGCCATCCATAGAATCATAATTTAACTATGCGCTGATTGAAGAAGTGCTTCCTTTGTCTGTTCTGAATCTTCCCAACAGTCAGCCTCACTGGATGACCCTGAGTTCTTATCTCTCTCCAGTTTCTCCATCCCATGTGCCATCTTAACATTTTGTTATCATGTCCCCTCTCATTCTGTCTGCACACCCACAGGCATGCACGCGCGCACACACACAAATATTTTACGGCCAAGACACAAATCCACTTAAAGACCCACTTCTACCTGCAGTGATTAAAGTGGGCTGGTGTTGCTTTCCACCCTTCCTCACTGCTGCTTTGTCATGATGACCTCACGTCGAGCTAAATGTCTGGAGACGCCCAAAGTACAACCAAACAAAAGGCAGTCCAGCTGGAACTGTTCTCCTGTGTTCCAAGAGCCCAGACGGTTCAATGAAAAACAAAATGAAGGCCACCTGACGTTATCTTTTCCTACTTGCTTTCCAAAGACATGCTAATAAACGGCCACAGTTGCACATCTAGTTGCATCAACCTGCTTTGCACAACTAGCTCTGCCATCTGAATCGCTGTTTCCTGTTCAACGTAAGGAAACCTGGTCTGTTGCTACTCACATAGCTATGCCATACCTCGGTTCCAGGCCAACTGACCCCATTGTTCAACTTCTCCTGTTTTCTGTTGAGGGTCCTAGTGTTTGGCCTTAAGAGCATGAGGCTCTTAAGTCCCACTGCCCTATCCACTAGAAAGGAAACTGTCCTTTCTGCCACTACAGAAATCACCTGATTTTGGGCGATTCCAACCTTGACAAGCAACTCTTCCATACCTCCCTCAGGTAAAAAAAGATAAAGGTAAAGGACCCCTGGATGATTAAGTCCAGTTAAAGGCAACTATGGGGTTGTGGCACTCATCTTGCTTTCAGGCTGAGGAAGCCGGTGTTTGTCCGCAGACAGCTTTCCGGGTCATGTGGCCAGCATGACTAAACCGCTTCTGGCTTAATGGAACACTGTGACGGAAACCAGAGCGCACGGAAGCACCATTTACCTTTCTGCTGCAGCAGTACCTATTTATCTACTTGCAGTGGTGTGCTTTCGAACTGCTAGGCTGGCAGGAGCTGGGACAGAGCAACAGGAGCTCACCCTGTTGTGGGGAATCGAACCGCCGACCTTCTGATGGGCAAGCCCAAGAGGCTCAGTGGTTTAGACCACAGCACCACCTTTTACCTTTACCTTTCAAATAAAAACATCTTGAAGGTCCCAGGCCACAGAGAGGTTAGGCTGGCCTCAACTAGAGCCAGGGCTTTTTCGCCTGTGGCTCCGATCTGGTGGAACACTCTGTCACAAGAGACTAGGGCCCTGCGGGACTTGACATCTTTCCGCAGGGCCTGCAAGACAGAGCTGTTCCACCAGGCCTTTGGCCAGGGCACAGCCTGACTCCCTCCTTCGGCAATCTTCGCAGAGCTCTGGCCCAATGGTTGCCAGTGGTTTGTTTTGAATTAATTTTATAATGAATGATTTTAGAGTGTTGTGTTGTACTGTTGTACTGTTTTATTGTTGTTAGCCGCCCTTAGCCCGGCTTTGGCTGGGGAGGGCGGGATATAAATAAAATTTATTATTATTATTTATTTATTATTATTACCTCCCTCAGGTAGACACCTCCCCACCAGTGCTATTTTTTACAGAAAAAGAGGTCCCAGAACTCACCATGAACACCTCCCTCGTTCTCTTAGAATGGCAATGGCGTCCACCTAAGAAGTGCCAGAACGTCTTAGTTCTGGCCGAATAAAAACCCTGCCCCCCACCCTACAAACCAAGAGGCTTTTGCAGGGCTCAGGTGGTTACAGGGGGAAATACGTTGTGGGAATATTTCCTTGCATGAACTTTATTAACTTATCTTAGCATCCAAGCCAATATATTCACCATGCAGCCCTAGCGGGAGGAGGGGGCTTGCCTCCCTATTTTCTTCTGACAAAGGTAGCCCTAAACGCAGAAGAGACTCTCATATTGGTGAGCAAACCAGACCAGGAAGAGTGGAGATTGTCAACTGTCCTGTCCTACTGGTGCAAAGAGGTGCCCTTGGGTGGTGTGGATGGCTTCCCTTGCAGTCCCTTCCATTAGGCAGGCAGGGTCATGAAGCACAGACAGAACAGACCTAACACCCCTCAGGTCACTGGAGTCAATCACCACAGTGGGCTCGAGTCCTGGCAGCAAAGTCATGGGAGGCAATAAAACATACTTGAGTTCTCACGCATACATCACAATGCTATCACCCCTGCCTTTTGAGCAGCAACTTTGCTCTTCACAAACTAAGTGGGAATTGCAGCAAGCTTCAGTGCAAATGCGCAGTGAAGAAGGGAACCAAGAAGCACAGGGATCTATACATGCCAATGTGCAACGCAACAAGAACATCTTTCAGCTGGAGGCTAAAACTGAAGGGGATTTATCTGAATTCTAAATATTATTTCCTATGGACAGCTCTGCAAAACTTTTTGGCCCCTTGAGAACACTTAAAGCATGATTTGTTTCTGCTCATGCAATCTTGAGGCTATAAAGGGAATGAAAGTCATCTTGACCAGGGATGGGTGGCCTGTTGCCCTCCAGATGATGGACTACAGTTCCCATCACCCTTGACCACAGGCCATGCTTTTTGGGGCTGATAGAGGAGTCGAACAGCTAGAGGGTCACAGGTTCCCTATCTCTGATCTAGGACAAAGCCACTGAGCCGCTCCGTACTAATTCTTCTGCAGCTAAACAGCCATTATCCAAAGCATTGCGTGCCAAAAGCAAAAGGCACTGGAGCCATAGGTGTCTGTAGACACAGAACAGTTTAGTAAACACACCCAGATGTCTGAAACCAAGCCAGCTGAACCACATGCTGCAGAAAATGAAAATCCCCAGGAGGGGAACACTCATTTGCAGACTCTAGTATGGAGTTTAGTATAGTAGAATCTAGTTAGCCACTACATTTTCTTGGCCCTCTGACTCATGTCAATCTTAGCCAATGTCCATCTTCAGTTGTAGCGATGGCCAATGAAGGGATTTTCAGAAAAACCATTTTACCTTTTTAAGTTTATGGGCTCCCTCAGACTGGGGGAGCAGTGTATTCCAGAAGCAGCCAGGAAGCATAAAAAACACAAGCTGCATTTTGTCTATATGTCACTTTTTCACACTTTCCTACTCTGGGTGGCTTGGTCTACCCATGCATCAGACTTCAGCTTTCTGTCTGCGATGGAAGCATGCTAAGATGCAGGTAACAGAATGTGTTGCTATTAGACTGTGTACACATTGCCATTTGCTCCGACTCCAGTGCGCTCCCATGACTGGCATTCAAAGCCATGTTCACTTGATATTACCTACAATCAATAACTAGCCTGCATTATCTTGAAAACGACTGCTTTTTAAATGCATTTTCCCTGTAACCAGCTTCCATCTGATTTGAAAACGGAAACTGCGGTTAAGCTGAGATGTGTACATTTGAAATAGCCATCGCTCGTGCCCAGATGACAGCTTCATGAATAGGAGTTATGGGGGGTTGCAGGCCTGGGGAAACCAAACGTGTACAGTGGTACCTCGGTTTACGAACTTAATAAATTCTGGAAGTCCATTCTTAAACCGAAACCATTCTTAAACCAAGGCGCGCTTTCCCTAATGAGGCCTCCCACTGCCAGTGACCTTCCACCGTTCAGATTCTGTTCTTAGACCGAGGTAAAGTTCTCAAACCGGGACACTATTTCCAGTTTTGCGGAGTTTGTAAACCAAATTGTTCTTAAACCGGACTGTTCTTAAACCGAGGTACCACTGTACTGTACATTGAGTGAATACATCCCTGCTCCCTCCCTAGCATGTACAGCAATATGTACATGTGACTTGAAACACAGCACGCAGAGATGGGGTGGGGATAGCACTTGCTGTGTTTTAAGCCGCTAATGTGTACACAGCCAAAGCAATCCTTAGATGTGCATGTTTGCCCTCCAGCCATCTTAAATAAATGTGACAGATAAAGGTGTATACAATACCTTTCAGAACCATGGTCCACAGAGTTCATGTCATCAGGAGAAATTCTGAACTCACTGATTCGGATTCTCTCTTCATACTGCACTTCAACTGAATAGTAGACATACACTTTACCATTAAATTTGAATTTAGGATGGAAGACTATACCTAGAAAACCTCTCTCATCTCCTTCCCAAGGTGAGGTCAGTACAGCTTCACTGATGTTCAGAAATGGTTTTTCAAGCCGTGACCGATCTGGGAGGTAGGTCCAGACTAAGCCAACTTGCTCAGCAATGAAGAACCTGTGCGTTCCGTCGTTTGCATGCACCATGGCCACTGGATTCCTAAGCCCGTTGGCGACCTCAGCTAGGCACAGCTGCAGACATCCTTCTGAATCAGCAACCACTACCCCAAGGTTTTGATTGAGATTGCTATTGACCAGGAGGTGGGGGAAGCAGTAGTCGGTGTCATCGAGGGACAAATAACGACAGAACTTTGCCATGTTGCCTTCCAGGGACAGTAACTCTTCATCTGGGCTAAGGTAACGGAACATGGCCCTGCAGGTTTGCCACACTTGTACGCAGTAATCTTTGCATAGTCCTGGCACAGTTCTCTCTGGAGTGGAAGGGTCCTCAGCATCATACAGGTGAGCAGCATAGGGGGAGCATTCCTGCAGGTAAAGGGAGAAGCCCGTGTCAGTTGTTTCTATTCACTGTATCATTAGCCCTCTGCTCTGGCTCACTAAGGGCCAAACTAGATGTGATATTAAATGCATTAATGCATTAATGAATTAACGCACGGTTTCCCAAACTTATTTCTCCAGTTGTTTTGGGACTACAACTCCCATCATCCCTAGCTAGCAGGACCAGTGGTCAGGGATGATGGGAACTGTAGTCCAAAAACAGCTGGAGACTCAAGTTTGGGGAAACCCAACCTTAACATGTCTAGAGTCCCCACCCCACCACTAACAGCCATGCAGGGAAGCAATCAAAACCATAGGGAAGTGGGGATTAACTATCTCTTCCCCCGCCACTCCCAGTGTGATCCCAAAGGAAACTGCTCCCCACTGCAAGCTGCTATTGACACGGGGGGGGGGGCGGACTTAAAGCATCTCTCCTGAAGCTATTGGGGATGTTTTCTGGAAACAATACTGGGTTAGATGGTTCAAAATGGTACATGACAGCTTCATACGTCAAGATTAGCTCTGCGCTTTGGATGTTTGGAGACCAGTTTACTGATCACGAGTAAAGCCATTATTTAAATATTGTTAAGATCCCAAAGTTCAAGATACTTTAAATGTTCTAAAGCTGCAGCTATGTTGATTTTATAACATTTTAGTATGCTGAACAACAACAAAAAGATCTTATTAGTGTGCTGCAACTTCAAGAAGAGAATGGCTTGTTGCACATCAACTCATATTTCTGCATGCAAAAACAAAAAGATATAGATGTGGGCATTAAGCTACTTTTATTTTTCTGCAACTACAGCTGAAACATGGGGAGCTTAGCACACGGCAAAATGTGAGAATGTTAGTCATCTGTCTAGCCACAAAGAGACAAACAGAAGGCATTTAGAGAGAAACTGACTCAATGATTGCTTTACCATACACCAAGATTCACTGGGATATCTCCATGCCATGTGGGGATAATCTAGTATTTTCTTGCAATTAGATTCAGGACAGAGCTAGTCTGGGTTTTAAGGCAACAGCTGTATTGATTTCACTTTCTCCTATGAGGAAAAACCTAAGATAGCATGTCCTTTAATCTCTTATTCAGTTGCAATTCAGCCAGCAACTCCAAACTGCCTGTGCTGGGGAGTTTGATAATTGCCAGTTCCCACGAGATCTCTTTGCAGCCAGAGGAAAACTCTGGCCTCTGGTACCCAGGAATATGCATAACTTATTGTCCGGACTTATTCAGATCCAATGGTAGGTCTGCAGAGGAACCTTGTTGTTTTTGCTTTAAGACAGGACTATAAGATAGTCCTTATCTTATGGGGACGCGGGTGGCGCTGTGGGTTAAACCATAGAGCCTAGGACTTGCTGATCAGAAGGTCGGCGGTTCGAATCCCCGCAATGGGTGAGCTCCCGTTGTTTGGTCCCAGCTCCTGCCAACCTAGCAGTTCGAAAGCACAAAGTGCAAGTAGATAAATAGGTACCGCTCCAGCGGGAAGGTAAACGGCGTTTCCGTGTGCTGCTCTGGTTCACCAGAAGCGGCTTAGTCATGCTGGCCACATGACCCGGAAGCTGTCTGCGGACAAACACCGGCTCCCTCGGCCAATAAAGCGAGATGAGCGCCGTAACCCCAGAGTCAGTCACGACTGGACCTAATGGTCAGGGGTCCCTTTACCTTTACCTTATAAGATACAAGCAGAAAAAGAAGATACAAGACAACCTTAAGAGAGGCTTCCTCAAACTCGGCCCTCTAGATGTTTTTGGCCTACAACTCCCATGATCCCTAGCTAGCAGGACCAGTGGTCAGGGATGATGGGAATTGTAGTCTCAAAACATCTGGAGGGCGAAGTTTGAGGAAGCCTGCTTAAGAGGATCCTGAGTCCACAATGCAACTTAGATCTTATGCCGGGGATAATGTGGCATGCATTTGGGGGCGAGCAGAGAGTCAGTATGTTTTAGAAGATGTGTGGAACACAAACATCAAATCCTCAAAAGAAAAAGGACCTACAGACATGTTTCAACAAGGCAGCTAAAATAAATATGCAAGGCATTACCATGCCAAGCTGAACCAAGGTAAGAGGCATTGCATATGTCCTATTACTTTTAAACCAGCATTCTTAGCTGGGGTGATGTATCTGTGGCACGTAGACACCACACTGCCCTTGTTCACATATAACACTAAACCAAACCATGGCTTAGCATAAATGAGCAAATGTGTAGACTCCTGAGAGGAGACAATGGCCACTTCATTCCTCCCCGGTGGTTTTGCACTCGTGGTTTAGCTGTCCTTGACAAACTATAGACTGTAAGTTAGTCGCTGGTTACAGTTTATGGTTTGTCTGTGCTAAACCATGGTTTGGATTAGTGCTGTGTGCAAAGCAGGACACACACACACTGAGAGATGAGCGGGGTATAAATATATTATTGTTATTATTATTATTACACATAGCACATTCCTCACTACATAAAGCAAAAAATCTGCAATTTGTATGCAGCATGCAAATTTACATCTGCCTGCCTATTTTCAGTCATTTATTCTGTTTTCATTACACTTGAGAAGCCGTAAGAAGCTGTTCTGAAATAGTGACTTCTGAAATACTGATTTCAGAATACAAAAAGCCCTACTGAGCTTTCACTGGATATCTCCAACATCAGTTAAAGCCTATTCTAACAGGCAACAGAGTTTAAAACTTTTTTAAAAGAAGGTAGATGCTGAAATTTGCACACAATATTAAATCACATGCTTTTTTCTTTTTCTTTTTTTGCCTTGGTGAAGTAATTGCTTTACTCAAGTATTCACAATTGCAAAGCCGTCATCTGAATATTGAACCCTAAAGTAAAAAATAAAATGCATGCAGTGCCTGCTGTGGAACATCTGTCCTTACAATCAACCAATTGAAGAATTGCATCTGGTTTGCTGACTTTAATTTGGTGCTCTTAGTCATATTGTTGGCTGAATTTCACATGCAGCTGGGCCAGCTGAGGACAAGATGTAAAATTCCCTTACATACAAAAAAAAAGTAGTTAAAAAACCTCAACTCACAGAACTAACAGGGTTTGATTCACTTAAATAAATTAAGAGCCCCGCTGCCTGGATCGACATGGGTCAAGAGACCCCACACTGTGATTAGGATTAGGAAATGTGATTCACTGTGATGTAAAAAGTTCGCCTCCTTGGCTAAAATGTTCTATGCATTTAAGCAGCTGTGATCTGTCTCAGATTTTATTTTCCCTTAAGAAATTAACCGAACCAGCTGGATTCAAGGAACTGCTTGCTCTTGTTGTAGTGTGATTTGTTTATCTATGATATCAGCTTGGCAGCTCCAGCAAAACTTCTTAGAAAACTGCTGTAATTTCCTTTTATATGAGTACTATTACTATCAGTTCCCATCTGCAAACTATAGTACTACAGGAAAGCCAAACAATAATCTCCGTCTTCTTTGCTAATAGTTTAACTATATTGGTACATAACACATGCAGGGAAAGTTGCATTTTGTTGAGCACGAAGGAATCCTGCAACAAAATGTTTTGGTATACAGTGATCCCCACCCCATCCCCAATATAAAATTCTGGCTGCTTTTGGAATATATACCATTTGGGTCCAATATGAAGTTGCAGTACTTCCCTTTACATAATTCATTAAATTGGGGGAAACGGATCCATTGGGATTTGTAACCGAAATATGTAATCTATCACTTTGGTCCACAGGTGGGGCTGGGAAGGTTCTCTGCCTGAAACCCTGCTGCAAAGTCAGCAAAAACAATGCTGAGTTAAACACAAAGCTGCGTAAGATGTAACTCAACATGTAGATGTTGATGTAAAGCAGCCTCCCATGTTCCTCTGTCTGCCAACAAAGGTCTGTATAGTTAAAGCTATGGTTTTCCCAGTAGTGATGTATGGAAGTGAGAGCTGGACCATAAAGAAGGCTGATCGCCAAAGAATTGATGCTTTTGTATTATGGTGCTGTAGGAGACTCTTGAGAGTCCCATGGACTGCAAGAAGATCCAACCTCTCCATTTTTAAGGAAATCAGCCCTGAGTGCCCACTGGAAGGACAGGTCCTGAAGCTGAGGCTCCAATACTTTGGCCACCTCATGAGAAGAGAAGACTCCCTGGAAAAGACCCTGATGTTGGGAAAGATGGAGGGCACAAGGAGAAGGGGACGACAGAGGACGAGATGGTTGGATAGTGTTGTCGAAGCTACCAACTTGAGTTTGACCAAACTGCGGGAGGCAGTGGAAGACAGGAGTGCCTGGCGTGCTCTGGTCCATGGGGTCACGAAGAGTCGGACACGACTAAACAACAACAATGTTCCTCTGTCATATATATTTGTTTTCAAAATTTCTGACAGTAAGAGCTGTTCAACAATGGACTCCCTCAGAAGGTGCTGGACTTTCCTTTATAGAGGTGTTTAAGCAGAGGTTGAATGGCCATCTGCTGTGAGTGCTTTAGTTGAGATTCCTGCACTGCAAGGTGGGTTGAACAAGTTGACCCTCAAGGTCCCTACCAGCTCTTAAGTAAACTCTACCGCTAGTATCCATCATTCTCCACCACTTGACCTTTAGAAAAGAAGAACATTAGGGAGTGGGAAATGTAGCTGAGTCATCTGATATACACAGCTCCACACACAATTCTCTCTGAATCATCCCATCTTTGCAGAACAATGGACCTCATTTCAGCGCGCTTGCACATAAATACATGTTCTCCATTCTGGCACTTATTCCCTAAATCAAAGCCTTTTCTCTGTGTGTCATAAATAAGCTTTCATCAAGCAGACCCTTCTGTGTTTCTTGCCATCCCTTGCCATTCTTCGACAATGCCTTGATTGCTTCCCAAGGCTGCAATCCTGCACTCGAGATTAACTGAGCTGAAGGGTCATGAACATGAATAAGAAATCAATCCATCAGAACGTGTTATTCCATAAGTCTCAATGAATGGATGGGAACAGAACAAGAGAATTGTAGGACTTTTTATTTAGCCAGTGTAGGAAGAACTCACTGTGCTCAGGACTGCAGCCCAGGAGAGGATTCATGGCAGTCAACGCTTTATGTAACTAATGAAATATTTAGTCTGGATGATAGTCAACATTAGTCACATGTAGAGTAGACCCATTTATTTCAGTGGAACTAGGATGTGAGGGCGATCTGGCTGCGACATCTGTCACCCCATTGATCACCAGTGGAACTACTTTGAATATGACTTAGATATTACCCTCCCACTTGGGAATTAAGGGCATTTGGAGGTGGGTGCTGGTTTCTCTAAGGATAAAATAAGGATGTATCTGATCTTGCCCTGGACCAGTTGAAAGCATCAAGGAAAAATAACCAATAAGCAGTAACAAATGTTAACATTATTTTCCATGGATAAGGGTTTATTTCCTTAATGTGCAAGCTTGTTTTAAGAAAAGGCCGATCCACACATGCGCGTACACAACTCCCTCCCAACTTAAATCAGAAAGGCCCCCTTCCTTGCTGAACTTCAGGAACATGACTGAGACTTTCTTGTTCCAGCAAGCATTTTAAGGTAGCGTTCAGTTTTATTATAAACCTTTATTTGTTTTATTGTCCAGTTTTCTGTGGATTGTTCTTACGTACGCTGCTTAGAAATGCAAACAATTAAGAGGCATATAAATGTCTTAAATAAAAAATTAAACTCACAGCTGAATTTATCAACAGCCTCCACTGAAAAAGCAACATGGCTGAAATGATGTGAAACTTCTCTAGCTGTGGCATTCGCACATGCAGGTCATCAATCTAGGTGATGAACATGCACATGTGAACCAGTGCCCTGAGATATTTACTGCATTAACCATGACATCCAGTGCATTCCACTGGGTTCATTGGGACTTGCTCCATTGGGAGGTTGTGGACTCTCCTTCCTTGGAGGTTTTTAAGCAGAGGTTGGCTGGTCATCTGTCATGGATGCTTCGGCTGAGATTCCTGCATTGCAGCAGGGTTGGACTAGATCAGGCATAGACAAACTCGGTCCTCCAGATGTTTTGGGACTACAACTCCCATCATCCCTAGCTAACAGGACCAGTGGTCAGGGATGATGGGAATTGTAGTCTCAAAACATCTGGAGGGCCGAATTTGCCTATGCCTGGACTAGATGATCCTCGGGGTATCTTCCAACTCTATGAGTCTACTCTCTAGTAAAGCAAGATAAGCTTGCAACCTAGGAGGGTCAGAGATCTTTTTGTACTAGTGTAATCCCTTTAACTCCCTTTAGGAGGTTCGTTTCCCCCATCTTTCCAGGAACGTAAAATATCACAGGGGCAAAAACATAGGGCTTTGACAGTCTATTTGAGGGCTATTGCCAGCGGTGCAGATAGACAGTTTCTTTCGGCTATTGCAGATGGAATAGGTATGGCAATGTGATCAACATTTCATTCTATTCCCGGAAGAGAAACAATGTCATATAATAAACCACAACTAAATATAGGAAGAGCTGGAATTTGGAGTATTCACATTCATACACAGAGACACTTGTCAAAATAATGTGACTAATGAATACATTTTGAGGAAAATTACCATCTGTGTGTCTGAGAAGTAGGGCCTAAATCAGTCTAATGGATTCCTGTAAATTATTCATCTGATATAGCATAAAAACACAAGCACAACGAACGGCTGAAAGTGGCATGTATGGGATTTCAGGGCTGTGGACGATGCAGTTTTTTGACACACAAGATAAGGAACAGAACAATGGCTGTAACCTATGACCTTTATCTCCAGAGCTAAACAGCACAAACACACACTGCAAATTTGCCACAAGCCCTCCATCAGCAATGCTCTGCAAGAACTTGACAACTCTTGCACCTATGGTATTCCATGCTAGTCCAACTCAGAGTAGACCCACTAAAGGTAATGGACTTGGCTATCTTAGGTTCATTACATTCAAGGAGTCTATGCTGAGTAGGACACTACCCTTGGCATTTACAACAGATGCTTCTTTTTAGTCTCCATTTATCCCAAATACAGTCGTACCTTGGTTGACGAACGCCTTGGCAGCCGAACGTTTTGGCTCCCGAATGCCGCAAACCCAGAAGTCAGTGTTCTGTTTTGTGAACGTTCTTTGAAACCCAAATGTACGATGCAGCTTCCATGGTTTCCATTTGCACGCAGGAAGCTCCTGCAGGCAATCAGAAGCCGCGTCTTGGTTTTCGAACATTTTCAGAAGTTGAAGGGACTTCTGGAACGGGTTCCGTTCAACAACCAAGGTATGACTGTATACCTATCTAAAGGTGTTTCCAGACCACCTATTTATTAAGCACTCATCCTGATTCATTTGCAGGGAGGTTGAACGATATTTAGTGAGCATGCATACTTATTTGTTTGTGGAAAGGTTAGATATTGCATCAAGTAAAGGTTATCTCACTTGATGCATTTTCACATCACTTTCCTTATTGCAAACAGTTCAAACTTTTTGGGAAGCGAGTTTGTTGGGCAAGACCTCCCAAACAATTACAAATTGCACAGCCTGAATTTGCCAGTGATCTGAATACCGCTTAAAACTAGTGACAGTCTGGAAATGCCCTAAGTTATGCAACTTTCACGGCCAGTGCAGACAACATGTTAGCTTTCTCTAAATGACGAGGGAGAGATCCAGAATCCAGAATCATATGCCAACATGCTCATGTCTTCTTTGGAGAAAATTCCTCCTGTTTCATTGCGAAATAATAAAATATGATGTAAGACCTTGTGAATTAATATAAACATTTAACAATGTCTTCTGAATCATTTGTTCCTGCCTAGGATAAACTAAGAGTTCAATTAGCTCAGTTGGTTAGAGCATGGTCCTGATAACACCAAGGTTGCAAGTTTGATGGGATAGCTGCATATTCCTGTATTCTAGGGGGTTGGTCTAGATGATTCTCAGGGTCCCTTCCATCTCTACATTTCTATGATGCTAAATAGCCTGTAGGTCCCTTTCCACTATGCAGCTCTGTGACTCAATAGGACTCAACATGACCAGTTTTCATGTTGCAGATATGAAATGAAACAGAAGCAGCTAACACACTGGAAGTCCACTTGTGGCGTTTTGCCAAAAGATGTATAGAATGAAAATATACAAGGCGCTGGTATTCTCTCCTCTTTTTGGCAGACACTTACCTAGTACACATTCTACTATGGCAAGGGTACAAGAATAGATTCAGAGAAGTATGGAAAATCAAGCAAATCTCCGCAATGCCTTTCATGTATTGGGGTTTTCAGGTGTTGTTACCATCCTCTGGAACAGGGACTGAGCAAAGAATGGACAAAGCAAGCAAAGAGAAACGCTTGGCAAAGCATATCCTGTAGAAATGAGAATTATACAGCCCGTTCATTGAGACCTGTCCAATGCACCTGGTGCTGGAGGAAAGCTCATGGCTTAAGAACACACAGAGTCCTGATATTAATCTATGTTACCAGCATGTGTTTGGTCCAGCAAGTTTTGCAAGCAAGACAAGGAGGCTGCATGGTATTATGAAGAGCAAAGAGCTTCTTACTTTGCAAAGAGCTTCTTATTTTGCTTAGAAGATTTTGAAAGGAGGGCTAACTCACGGGGGGGGGGACAGACCCTCAGATCATTCACTTTGTTGGAGAAGGTGCATGGACAGAGAGGGATATGATGTCTAACAGTAGGGAAACAGCATCATCTGTGTGTGTCCTTCACCAGCCTAGCTGGTGAATATGGAACCAGACAGAATGCAGGTATCACTTGGATAGCCTACTTTTGCAAAATCCTGTAAGGAGGATCACAGCTGGTTGCAATGAAGATAACTTTGACATAAAAGCTGAGTGTAGGTTATACTTCATAAAGATGAACTGGGTGCAAACACATATGGGACAGTGGAGCATCTATCCCATCTACCTAAATATGCAGACTGTTGAAGGATGGGCCTATCTGTTTATGGGGAAGGATTTCTAACGGAAGTGCTATTTCACAAGGCAGGACAGCCCTTGCATGTGGACTGGCAGTGGATGAAAGGATTCTAGGAAGCTGCCTTGTCCATCAACTCGAAGGATGGGGAACCAGTGACCCTGCAGACATGGATAGACTGCAACTGCCACAAGCCCCATCCAGCATGGCCTATGGTCAGGGATGATGGGAATTGTAGTCCAAATACAACTGGAGTCCCTAATGGAAGTTTGAGAAACCCTAATGGAAACCCTAATGGAAAGTTTGAGAAACCCTAATGGAAGACTCCAGCTGCAGCTTAGACTGCAGTCTTTCTCATCATGTGATACCTGGACTTTTGGATTAAACCTGGCTGGGTGGGACAATCTGCTTTATCCCTTTTTCTGCAGCAGCTGAGTGAAGAATGCCAACAAGACAAGGCAGCGCTGTCCATTTATTTAACCAAGCGTGGCTGCTCTAGGTGAAAACAGGGGACGAAGCTTGGCACATTATTCCTTGCGTTTATATCCCAGCTGCCCTGCAAGGAGTACATCGTTCTCTCCCCCTGCTCCATTTTATCCTCACAACATCCCTGTGAGGTAGGTCAGGCTGAGAGGGAGCCATTGGCCCGAAGTCACCCAATAAGCTTCAGGGCTTAGTGGGGATTTGAACCCTGGTCTGTGGGTTAAACCACAGAGCCTAGGACTTGTCAATCAGAAGGTCGGTGGTTGGAATCCCCGTGGCGGGGTGAGCTCCCGTTGCTCGGTCCCTGCTCCTGCCAACCTAGCAGTTCGAAAGCATGTCAAAGTGCAAGTAGATAAATAGGTACCGCTCCAGCAGAAAGGTAAACGGCATTTCCGTGCGCTGCTCTGGTTCGCCAGAAGCGGCTTAGTCATGCTGGCCACATGACCCGGAAGCCGTACGCCGGCTCCCTCGGCCAGTAAAGCGAGATGAGCGCCGCAACCCCAGAGTGGGTCACGACTGGACCTAATGGTCAGGGGTCCCTTTACCTTTACCTCCCAGGTCCCACACTCTAACTAGGTCCCTCTCACTAGGCCTTGGGGGGGGTGCGGGTGGGAGGAAAGGGACGGGCCGCGTGGCCCCACCAGGCTCACCTGGCACAAGAGGTTCTGCAGGTGGCTGGCGCAGGCGGCGTAGGCGGCCTGGTCGAAGTTCTCGGCCACTCGGTAATAGCGCTCCAGCAGGGCGGCGTCGCGCTCGGCGTCGCAGCAGCCGAAGTCCGAGTACTGCACGCAGAAGTGGAGCGGGCGCGGCGGCTTGAAGGGCGGCTTGAAGTCCAGGCACTGCGGGTGGCCCCACAGCAGCCCCGGCAGCGCGTGGAGCAGCGCGAGGAGGAGCGGCCACGCCATGCTTCCCTTCCTCGGCGCTGCTGCGCTCAGGACAGGCGCGGGCTCCTGACGGCGAGGAAGCGGCGGCAGCTCCGCGGCTCGCGCCCGGCCATGGCCCTCGGCGGGCGGGCGGGCGGTGAGGGCTCACGCGGGCTCTCGCAGTCGCGAGGTTCTGGCGAAGCGCGCGCGTCGCGGTGCACCTTGGCGCTTCGACAGCTCCCGCCGCCGTGCCCTGAGGGCCCCTTAGCCGATGGGGAGACGGGGAAGGCGAGAGGCAGCAGCCGCCTCCTCGGATTGGGCAGGGAAGGGAGAGGACGCTGCCCTGCCGCGCCCTCAGCGCGCTCGGAGGACGACTCGGACGCAGCGCCGAGGGCAGAGGGGGCAAAGAGGACCTGCTCGCTCGGCCGCCCCTTCGCTCGCAGAAGCGCCTCAGACCCAAAAAGAAAAAGCTGAGGAGGAGGGCGGAAGCGCCGCCTTCTCCCCGCTCGGGGCGGGTAAATAGTCGCTGGAGCGGCGCCCGCCGAGCTCGCGGAGCGCCAAGGAGAAGGAGACACGTGCCTGGAGGAGCGAGCGGCGCGGAGGAGACCAAGGCCGGCCGCAGCCTCGGAACTAGTAGGCACCAGGCTTGGAATAAAGGGCACCAAGCCAAGCATCCTCCCATGCCCAATGTATTCCCCCCCCTTTAAGAACTCTAAATATATATATTAGATAGAGCAACAGGGACAGACTGGAATAATAGGGCGTCAAAATATGGCGCCCCTTTCCCAAATAGTTCTGATTTTCACAATAACTGCTCTTGGTACAATTTTTTTTTAAAAAATATATCTTTTCAAAAGGCACCTGTATAAATATAAGTCTTCTTCTTATTATTATTTTGTGTCCTCTTGGCTTGGGACCCTGTGCGGAGGAACCATCCGTACCTCCTTAAACCCAGCAGGAATGCCAAATTATATGCTGCTCACCAGAAACCGTGATAGTCAGCAACTTGCACAAATTCAAAATGATGAGGCTATCCTGCCAGCCACAAGGTCTATGCTTTGTCTCCACTGTCTGAGGCAGTATGCTTCTAAATTCCAAATTCTGGAAACTGCAGGAGTTAATTATTGTTGTTGTTGATGATGTTGCTTTATTGAGTTTGTTAGTCACCTTATCTTGCCCAGGGGAATCCAGAGCAACTTGCAAACAGACAAAAAAACAACCCCACAGATACACGAAGAAGGCTCTTGAACTCAGGTCCTGCTTGCAGACTTCCCATGGGCATCTGGTTGGCTACTGTGGGAACAGGATGCTGTTAGTATATAGGCCACTGGCCTGATGCAGCAGGGCAATTCATAGGTGCTTATTACATACCATATTCATAGAACCATAGAATTGTAGAGTTGGAAAGTTGGAAAGGGACTCCCAAGGGCCAATGCAGGAATCTCAGCTAAAGCACCCATGACAGATTCCCACCCAACCTCGTTTAAATATAGTATGCTGTAATATAGCACATTATATTATATTATGCTGAAAACCTTTCTGTTCTGCCAGGCTTATTATGCAGGCAATTAAAAAAAAATCCACAATGGTTGGATTTTATAGCAGAAATTCTGGAATTTCTGCTGTAATTTCCACAGCTTTGACCTTTTTCCACGTGTTGTTTTTTTTCTCCTTAATTGACGCAAGTACTTGCTTAAGTTGCTGCTGTTGCAGGAGGGCCTTCAGAAAAAGACTCCTCTGGTTCTGTTTGGCATCCGTTTGTCTCGCGAGACAATGGAAGCGTGTGCCAGAAGTGGATTTAGGGGAGTTCGAGCAGTTCAGTTGCACTGGGCGCAGAGCCTCAGGGGCACCACAACTAGCATGGAGCGTGAGAGGCAAAGGGCACCAGATTTTGGAGTTGCACACAGCACTCTTGAAATTTGAGACCCTACTGAGTGCATCTCTGGGAACTACTTTTCTTTTATGGTGTTCTACAAACCTAGACAGCATCTTAAAAAGCAGAGACATCACTTTGCCAACAAAGGTCCATATAGTTAAAGCCATGGTTTTCCATTCTGAAGGAAATCAGCCCTGAGTGCCCACTGGAAGGACAGGTCCTGAAGCTGAGGCTCCAATAGTTTGGCCACCTCATGAGAAGAGAAGACTCCCTGGAAAAGACCCTGATGTTGGGAAAGATGGAGGGCACAAGGAGAAGGGGACGACAGAGGACGAGATGGTTGGACAGTGTTCTCGATGCTACGAACATGAGTTTGACCAAACTGCGGGAGGCAGTGGAAGACAGGAGTGCCTGGCGTGCTCTGGTCCATGGGGTCACGAAGAGTCGGACATGACTCAACAACTAAACAACAACAACTTGTGTGTGGCGGAACGGTGTTAGGGCATCTGTCAAAAGCTTTGGAAGGCAGGTTGCGCCAGGTCCATCTCCTTCCTTTATTGAATCTGTGCTGCAACCGTACTTCTTGTGCTAGTTGGGGCTGATGGGGGTTTTAGTTCAAAACTTCTAGAGGGCACAACGTTGGTGAATGCTTTTCCAAAGCCTTTTGGTCTCTCTTTTGTTTCCCCTGACAGTTGTGAATCTAGTGTGGCTTCTGCATACTTTTTTTTTTTTTACAAGAAAACTTAAATGATTTGTAGAATTATATGTCTGTCATCTCTATTTTTTATGTTTCTGGGAGTCTTGACATCAAGAACCACAGTGGCCTGGAACAAATCGTGTTACAACAGGCGTTTCCATTACGTCCCCCTTTTCTGAAAGACAAGGATCCTCAGGCAGCATTCTTAGCTGTTTCTGTCGTTGCAAAATGTAAAATGTGGCTAATAAAAACAAGCCAAAACCTGCACGAAGCCTCCCCTAAAGTATATAACCATAGATGGAAAGTGCCATAACTGGAATTGCACTTATGGCTCAATTAAAAACACAGAGGCCTTTGGAAAATTTGGATTCGGTGCACGCTTTTTGGCTTGACAACGGTTCTCCAAAAAAGGTGAGCGACATTATTGTAGCCAGCAAATACCCGAGTCCACAAACCTGTTAAGACAAAGTATTTGGAAAAGCTGATTCAGTCCTGTTGGAAGAAGGTGAGACTAAATGGGCTTAAGCCAAGATTATCCCACTTGTTCATGGATTCAGTAAAGTTGTTTTGCAAGTGGAAAATCTGTTCACTGTATGAAAATGGGGAATGTAAAAGCGCAAGTGAGCCACTCTTCTGCTTTCTCCATCTTCTGCAAAGTGGAGGACTTTAAAATGAGCCTAAGAGGGCCATTTCTCACCTTATTTATTCAAAAGCATTTATAAATTGTTCAATATTTTTAAAATCTCTTAAGTGGTTATATAATACTGAGACAAAGAATATCATTAGGGAGAAAAATTCAACATAAAACCAATGTAACAGTAATATATTTATACGTATATTAAAACAAATAAAACAGGAATTCAGGAGATTCAAGCACTATCTTATGGGCTGGGAAAAGCCTGGGCAAAAAAAAGAAGTCTTCACAAGACGTCTGAAGCAACTGAATATTACTGCTTCACGTATGGTGGAAAGAAGTTGAATTTTTCCCTGATGATCTAAGTGTTCACACAGGTCTATATACAAGGGCAGATAGTAGTTATTAGAACAGAATATTTGTGCTTTCCTATGACTCCATCCTATGCTGCCCTAGGAGTGAATCCCCTGTCTTCTGCAGAATTTCAGATAGCTGTAGAAGGATTCCTACCCATGTATTATTCCTTGTGTGTGTGAAATGTGCCATAGCACATTACAGGGGAAAGCTCCGATTAATAAGACGTAAAGGTAAAGGGACCTCTGACCGTTAGGTCCAGTCGCGGACAACTCTGGGTTTGCGGTGCTCATCTCACTTTATTGGCCAAGGGAGCCGGCGTACAGCTTCCGGGTCATGTGGCCAGCATGACTAAGCCGCTTCTGGCGAACCAGAGCAGCGCACGGAAACAACATTTACCTTCCCGCCGGAGCGGTACCTATTTATCTACTTGCACTTTGACATGCTTTTGAACTGCTAGATTGGAGGAGCAGGGACTGAGCAACGGGAGCTCACTCTGTTGCGGGGATTCGAACAGCTGACCTTCTGATCGGCTAGGCTCAGTGGTTTAGACCAGTGTTTCCCAACCGGTGTTCCGCGGCACACTAGTGTGCCGCGAGACGTTGCCTGGTGTGCCGTGGGAGGGAGGCGGGCGAGTCGGGCGGCGAGAGGCGGGGCGGCGGCGGCGAGGATCGGCGTCGAGCCGGGGGCGGCTCCGCGGTGATGGTGCCGAGGTTTCTCCATTCTCCCCTCACACACACACACACACAGGAAATAACACAGGATCAGCTGACAGGACCCGGCCAATGGGGCGGCGGCGGGGCAGCGCGCACAAAAGGGAGGAGCGCGAAACGGCGGCGGCGCAGGGCGGGAGGGCGGCGCATTGCGCGTGCTCAAACCCGCCCTCCGAGGCGCAGAGGGGAGCTGGGCAAGCGCCTTCTTCAACCACGCGCTCGTTTAAAAGTTTCTCTTTCAAAAAGGAAACGTGGGTTTCTTCCACCCCATTGGCTGCGACTCCGCCCACTCCGTCCTCCTCCCCCTCGCCCGCCCGCGGCGCCTCGCTCCTCAGCCTCCACCATGTACCGCTCGCTCCGCTCCCTCCAGCGCCTGAGTTGCGCCAGGGGCGCCGCCGTCCACGCGCGCCAGAGGGGCCCGCCGACCTGCAGCCGCCACGCGCAGCCACGGAGGATGGTGAGCGACGCCCCCCCCGCTGCGCACGCAATGGAGGGAGGGAGGGAGGCGCAAGGGCGTCAGAGGTGACCTTTGCCGGCCTCTTGCGGGACAGGCGCCTGCTGCGCGGCTGAGGAGCCCCTTCCCGCCTTTGTGGGCCTGACGCGGCCTCAGGGTTCCCTCCCTCTCTCCACATATATAAATTGGCTTTTATTATTAGCGCTTTCGCATTCCTTTTTCTCCCTCCCAGGAGCTGCGGGGGGGGGCGGGGGGGCTCCCCGCCATTTACCCCCCACAACAACCCTGTGAGGGAGGCCGGGCTGAGAGGATTCCAACCCGCGTCCGCCCCCGCTGCTTCCTTC